TTCCTGCTGTCTTGCAAATAGGCGTTCCCTTGTGTTCCTTGTTTCAGCTCTTATTTCCAGGCTCATTTGTTCAACCAGGATTCATCACTTCGAGGATAGCCGTCAACATGGTTAAATAATATATTGCCTGATTCAATGTGATTCAATCGTACTTCAACCCGACAATACTGGGGCAAATGGCATAGCAGGATCGCGACTGACAAACCTCCCACCTTTGCATTTTTTGTGTATCTGATGAAGAGAACTCAGAAAATTTGTTTTAACCTTTAGCCGGTCCTGAAAATACGCATTTGGTACGAAACAGACCAAATCTCACAAATCTCACAATGACACACGCCGGAGCCCCGTTTCTTCATGGAAACGTCAGATTGTCGACAAAATTGTGAATCCATCAAATCTGCGGAGAGATTTACAAATCCATTCACATCATGCAGTGATTTGCAGAGAAGCGTTTGACCGTGCCCGAAACCGTTCCCAATGGCTCTCACGATTGTCTCTCAAAAGGGGTTTGGGGGTCATTCGCGAACCGGTTGTGAGAATAATGGTTTGTTTATGATTACGGTCCAAACTAACAACCAATTCTCCTTATTTATCCGGTCTGTTTCAACGGCAGAGTCGGTTTCGTTTTCAGTTCCAAATGGTTTGACTTCAAGTTTGCATTCATCCTCTGTTAGTCTTATCTCATGATGCTACAATGTGGGGAACACATTCAACCCTCACACGTATCTATTTGATCAGTAATCCTGATGCTAAAATCCGGTATCACGGTCCAAGGCAGAAATGCAATAGTTGTATCCCCGCTTTAATGGAATGCTCGATTAATGAAATTCTGTTCGATGATTTTATTTTGATCCGCTGTCTCATTGAATCTCATTGAATCATGTGTCGTTTTAAGAACGGTTTCTGTTACAGTCGTGTTCCAGAGAACGGTAGTTTTTCACTTTAATACAATCGGTCCTAATTCANGGAGATTTGACACACACATGTACGTCATTGGCTCACTTTTCCGTTCACCTGATCCACTGATTTCATGGCACGTGATCTTCTAAGGTAAAAAGAAAGAGAAATGGTTTGGTCCACTTTGTAGGTCAGAGAATTGCCGAGTGTTTCGTTTGCTTAATTATGTGTGCATTCGATCATGTATGTATACCTGTGTGTGCGTGTGTGTCTGTCAGTCCGTCCGTCCGTCCGTCAGCCCACCATACTCCCCAAAATCTCGTTCTCCTGTGTAAGCCACCTGTCGTCGTTCTAGTCAGCTGTAACACAACAAGCATAATCCCTCTACTAATGGAGAAATAGTGAATGACTGCAAAAGGACTCCCGGGCGTTTTCTGTCTCTATCGATTAGAAAATCCGGTCTTAAAGAGAAACTCTTTCATGTGACATGTAAAAAAAACCTATTTGCTTCGGTTTCACAGGGAATTTATGTATGATCAGGTCAAAGATTCAATCTGTTCATGTGCTCTGAATGGATTCACTTTTATCATTTGGTCAGTTTTCAACACGTTTCAACACCCACAGTATGTGACACCACGGATGGACAAATACAAGTCAAATTCACCGAACGGCTTCAGATCCGATAACTAACGAATTCGGTAAATGAAAGCAATATTTCAATCAACAAGTAGGAAGTGTTTCCGGTTAGATTATTTCTCTGGGAGAATTTGTACGGGGAAAGGAAGTTGTAATTTTTCATATATCAAAAACAAATTTCAACACACTCCCATGTCTACAATGAATCGTTTTCTGAAGCACTAGTTGGGAAATCACACAAACACCTACACAGATATATGTTAGTCGGGCATAGAAATAAATTCACCGGTGTATCGATCTCTCAACAGTGCAGCTGCAAACTGAGCGCAGTGATCCAGTGCAGCCCTTGAAGTGGAAATACTTCGTATTTTAGTTAAAATAGATACAGATCACGAATTACAAAATGTAAATCACGAATAAAGAATCACAAATCACGGAAGCAACTGGACCGCTGAATCGCACTAACATTTGTGTGCTAGTATCGTTCGTCATCGAGACGCAAGAAAAAGGCCACAGAAGTGGCAGTTCGTTTAATGAAAGAAATCAGTTGGATTAAATAACATGTACAGAGTTAGTTCATTCGTTATACTAGTATCCACCAATCGAATGCTTGTACTATTCCCATCAAACAGCTTCTGTGTGGATCGCACAACTTCTGATTGGTCTACACAATTAGCCTGTGGTTCGTTGTCTAGAAACTGTAGCAAGCTGTTCCATGGCTGGCGTTATCCCGTAGGTTACATACTTCCCCTGATCACAATATTGCTCAAAATTATACCCGGTTTGAGGTGTTTTGGGTTAGGCAGCCCACAGTGATAAGTGTTATTCCTATCGACCGTTTGCACGAATCCTGACACCTAAGCATTCTGACAATCACATTTGTTCAACAAGCCTCTAAAAAAATTTCACTTCAAAATGGGAAGAAAACGCTACTACTAAGGGGAAACTATTCTGGCAAGTTGGAAAACAGCCTATATGGAATCACAAGAGGTACTATCCGCAGGCCGGTATATTTTGTCTGCGGATGTCCTCCAGAACAGAGAATTAGTGGTTTCATGAGTGTCGTTAAGGGTAACACTCAGGGCGATTTGTAAATTCCCGCACTCCTTTCGCCACAGAATCTATTACTCTCTACGATACTGTTGATCGACTCAGTCATACCCGTATGACTACCCGTGGTCAACTGTTTTACCTATGGCACTGTTCTCAAGAACCATTAAAGTGCATCAACATCGACCCACTCCCGCTATTTTGTAAGTTACAATAAATCGCGGCTTCTATTCATCCTATCCCCATTTGTTCATACCCTTTTGACAGGTATTGGCCACCGATATGTCAAAACACATGAGCCTACTTGCAGATCTGAAAACCATGGTTGAAACAAAGAAAGTGGCTGGTTCAGGGATTCTCACCTTGGATAACTACAGTGATCGAATGCAGGTAAGTAGTGCTTGTGTCTGTGTGTCCCATCATGGTTGTTCTTGATCCAACAACGGCCACATACCCATTCCCTTAATGGCAGTGCACTCGTAACTTGTCCACTTGTTCATCTGCTCGCGTGTATTCAGTTGAATTGTTCTTCATCCGAAGATCTCTCACTGTCTTGTACCAGATTCTGCAAAATATGATTCACTGTTCCGATTTGAGCAATCCGACAAAACCGCTGGCCCTGTATCGACAATGGAATACACGGATTATGGAGGAGCACTTCCGACAGGGGGACCGAGAACGGGAACAGGGTCTGGAACTGAGTCCAATGTGTGATCGGAACACGGCTTCGTTGGAAAAGACCCAGGTAAGTATTGGAACCCCGAATGAGCATGCAATCGGCACCTGGTTTGTACTTAGATCTAGACAATAATGAATATATATGAGGAAAATTCACCTTAGTCGGTGATCAAAATACTCTCAATGGAATTACCGAACTCGGTGACCAGGTGGAGAAAAAATCTGTAATACTCCCGAGAGACATAAACGACAGCAACAAGTGCAACAACCCACATCCTGGTTAGCAAGATGGTACAATATTCGTATCCCTGAAGTAATCGACTTGGCCACGTTCAGCCCACACAGACGGTTGTCAAAATAAGGGACTTGATTTCACTGAGCATTCTTCTGCTTTCCTCTTGACGCATGGTCCTCGATTTACCCAGTTAACCAGCCGTACATCCGGGGGCTATGACAATGGAATAAAAACTAGAATCTGCCACTGTCGTTCCCCCATGAATGGCACAGTCTTAGCATCAGCGTTTTCATATTGAGATAGCCAAGACCGCTAGAAGGATATCGACTCCTAGGAAGGAAGGAACTAGTCTCGTGCTTTCCTGTCGATTGGTTAACTGGGTACAGTGAGGATTGGGTGAGTTGAACTCTAAAAGTTGATCGATCATTTGACACACTGGCTGTATTCCGACATTATGGAGTAATTCCATCTTCAAATGGGAATTCGTCGTGCATTTGGCAAATGAAGCGTGAACTGAAAAGCTAGGAACCACTGGGTAACTGTTTCGACCTGGTTGGGTTTTATCAGCAGGGCGAATCCATCGACCCAACTGTGGCTCGAACCCGGGACCTCCCAGGTAGAATGCAAGCACGTTACCCACTCGGTCACCGGGCAGCCGATTAGACCGTTTTTCATTTTCAATTTCCATATCGTGTAAATGGAAAATGAAAAACGGTCTGATCAGCTGCCCGGTGACCGAGTGGGTAGAACGCAAGCGTTCTACCTGGGAGGTCCCGGGTGCGATCCCCATTTGGGTCGATGGATTCGTGCACAGAGCTGATGAGACCCAACTAGGTCGAAACAGCTGTCTAATGCTTCCTAGCTTTTCACTTAACGCCTCACTTGTAATATGCACGATGAATTCCCATTTGAGATATTTCTACTCACAAGTAGCTAAAAGCTAAAACGAGAAAAAGCGGATCACCACAGCATTATTATTTTCATTATGAATGGTTATATTCGTTAGAATTTCATCCTGGTACACAGATTGTATAGTTATTGAATATCGCTGAAGGAACTTTTATTGACTGATTTTAGTCTTATTTCAAAAATTATTCGTGTGTACTTCCTCGCGCCGGTCAGATTAATGCTTTTCAAATATCGTTTATTCTGTTCTACTATAGGTTAGCTTCATTGACTACATTGTGCATCCATTGTGGGAAACCTGGTCTGAATTGGTACACCCGGATGCTCAGAAAATTCTGGAAACTCTGGAGGAAAACCGAGAATGGTATTTGGCCAGAATGGTGGAAGATTCACAGAATGAGCAGAAAGAAAATGAATAAATATGGTCATACATACTTCTTACACAGTAAAGAACAGACGCACAATAAACAAACAAACAGATCCCACATGCACACATGTATTTCTTGGATTGCCCACACCACCCCCTTCCAACGCCCTATCGCTCATCAAAGCGCCTTCATGTTTTGCATATCGAATGTCGAGAATACACCGAGCGCAAATTTCCAATCCGTTCGCGTCACAAATCAGTCATTCTGTTCACTGTCCGTGAGCACGAACCCCTCTCCTGATTGTTCTGATTTGTCATTCTCTTTTCATCTCCGCCCCC